ATGGGAATACTCCTTAGAAGCTAGAATGGCGACACTTTTCTTAGCTAACTTTAAGAATGTCAGCACAGAGTTGATTACGTTGTATTAGATCATATTATGAGCGATTCTGCCAAAATATTGAGAACCCTGCCCCAGCCAAGTTGACACAAAACCTAACTACCAAAGACAGTCCAGGAATTATTGTCAAAAAATAAAATTGCCCTAGATGTCTGGAGTTATTTCTGAACTTTAAATCCTGTGACATCAGTCTATGTCTACACAACAGCCCTTGTCTGTCAGTCTATCGTACTATGGTGGCTTGTGTGTTGATGGAAGCTATGTCACTGGTATTGCAAATGCCAGCAGGGTCACCCAAAGTAATCTGATTTCAGTGAAGCTTCCAAACTAAGGACTTGGTTCCTCACTTTGGAGGAAGGAGCCCTGAAAACCTTAGGCACAGCTTCGAAACACTGTCATATCCCGAAGGCCTAATGAATGGAAGCAGAGCACTGTTGGAGCTAGTGCTGGAGGATGGCCTCTCTGGTTGGAGGGCATTCAAAGTATGCCTGTGGAAATGCAGCCTTTGGGATCTTTGATTCCTGTTGGGGCATGACTCAAGATAAGGAGAAAGAGCTATAAAAATCTGCTAATGATTGAACTTGGAAGTATGGGAAGTATGAATCTAAGAACATTGGAATTGGTCAAAAATGAAATGGAACACATAAGGTTGATATTCTCGGAATTGGTGAGCTGAAACGCACTGGTATTGGCTATTTTGAATCAGAAAAATCAGAGGATTTACTATGTTGGAAATAATACAATCAAGAATGCTGTGGCATTCACTATCATAAGGGACACTGCAATATTAATCATAAAGTACAATGATTTCTGTGATAGGATTCTATCTATCCACCTTCAAGGAAATCTGAACAATACAACTATTATTCAAATGTATGCACCAACCATAAAAGCTAGTGTGAAGAAATTGAAGAATTCTACCAACAATTTCAGTCTGAAATTGACCAAACATGCAATCAGGATTCATTGATAATTTTTGGTGATGGGAATGAAAAAGTTGGAAGGAACAGTAGTTGGAAAGGATGGACTTAGTGATAGAAATGAAGCTAGCTATCACGTAATAGCCTTTGCAAGACCCAGGACTTGTTCATAGTAAATAAATACCTTTTTCAACAACACAAAAGGTGGCAGACACATGGACTTTCCTGATGGAATATATGAAATCAAATTGACTACCTCTGTGGAAAGGGAGGATGGAGATGCTCAATATCAGCAGCTGAAACCAGCCCAGGGCCTAGCTATGGAACAGACTGTCAGTCGCTCAGATGTAAGTTCAGGATAAAGCTGAAGAAAACTAAACAACTTCACAACAGCCAAAAGATTACCTTGACTCTATCCCCCTTGGATTTGAATACATCTCCAGAGCACATTTTATGCGTTGAGCATTCATGACAGAAAACCTGATGTGCTGTGGGAAGACACTAAGACCATCATTTATAAAGAAAGCAGAGGTTCATTCAAAAGATAAATAAGAAGGATCAAAGTGGATATGAGAAGAGACTGAAAGAATTGTGAGTGTGGCACAGAACGATGCGGCGTCCCGTTCTGTTAGGCACAGGCCCGCTATGGGTCATGACCAACTTGAGGGCACCTAACAGCAACAATGAAAACGAAGTGAAACTATTGCTCATTGCTCTTTTCTTTGTTTACTTTTGGCTTGCTTCTGTTCATTTGTTTTTTTAACTCTTTATTTTGAAATAATTGTAGATTCATAGGAAGTTATCAGGAAATGTATAGGAAAGTTCTAAACACCTTCCAAACCTTCCTCAAAAGTGTAGTACACCGTTATTGTGCAATATCAAAAGGATATATTGTGACATTTAATAGAAAATATTCATATTCCTTAAGATATTTGTGTGTGTATATAAACCCAAACAAAACTCACTGCCGTTGAGTATATTGTGACCATAACAACCCTATAAACCCGGTAGAACTACCTTGTGGGTTTCCAAGACTGTAACTTTTTACCAGAATAGAAAGCCTCCTTCTATCTCGGAGATGGTTTCAAAGTGCTGACCTTGTGGTTAGCAGCCCACTGGAACCCACAACACCACCAGGGCTCCTGTGTGTGTATACATAGCTCTAGATAACTGCAAACATGTGAAGCCTTTCATAATTACCATCACAATTAAATACTCACCAGAAAGCCCTGGCTTATGCCCTTGCTGCTACACCAGTTCTCCCCTTTACCGTCCCTACCCTTTCCAACTAATACTTTTATCCCAGTTCTATATTTGATGTTATTTCACAAGGGCTATGCAAATATAGTGATGTAACATATATCATATTCTATGTAGGTATCGTATGTTGACATGCAAAGAGGAAATATATTACAAATAATACTCATACTTAAATGAAGGTTTTCATATGATTTTTTATCTGAAAATGAACCTGATTCCTATATTCTACTCATAAATATTAAAAATATAAGCTTCAAGTAAACCTTATTTGAAATAGCCCTCTAAAATATTTCTGATCTAATCATGAGACATGATAGTTACATAACATAACATGTAAAAGAATTAGTATAATGTTTGGATCATCAAAAAAACTTCATCCTGCTTCTGGTTAAAGAAAAACTGTATTTGAGAAATGCTTATTTCAAAATAAAGGATCTGTGGAAATTCAAATGAAAATTTTAGTTCGTTTTCTTGTTAAATTTAAGTTATATGCCAAAATATCATAGGCTACCACACAGTATTAAAAAAACAATAAACTAAATAAGATATGTTAAAGTACATAGGAATGCATGATTAGAAGAGGAAAATCAGGGAATTCACTTTAAAAAAAAATTGAAACGGAAGCCTAGGAGGAAGCAATACGCTGGCCATCTTTAACCCTGATGTTGTTGACAGTAATCAATGATCTGAAGCATCTGCTCCGCTAAGGAACAGGAGATTAAGTTTAAGGAAGTTCACTCAATGGGTTGGAAGACCAATTATACATAATGCTACAATCCAAAGTTTCTACACTCTCAGAAAAACGTAACAAAGTAACCGAGACTACAATATTAAACAATGAAAATCAGAGCAGAAGAAACTTGCTTCTTTCAAAGGAACCTCAAAATGCAATGGATTAAATATCTCAAAAGTTTCTAATCTACCGTGCCGTATGCACATGACTGTGGATAATTGACTGCTCCACACTCAGATTTGTGGGTAGCATATCACAAGCATCAACTCCTCCAGTTATGTTTGGTCCTTGAGCAGGTAAAAAAGAAAGAGTGAAGAGAAAGTTCATCCATTTTTGCTTGTTTTTGTTTTATCTAAAAGGTACTGACATCATTATTAGACATAAGTTTTGAGTACAAAATTATGTTTTGTGGCAGTAGGTGTCAAACACTTCAAAATTGACCAAATCAGAGGACAAACCTTTACAAATTCCAATCTTTTTATCTTAATACATTTTGTATACAAGACTTAATGTAATGCAGGGTTCTCCTGATCCTGGCACCCTCAAAATTTGGATCAACAGTACATATAATACACACACAAACACACACACACACACCATCTGGAAGTTTATACACTATTCTGTTATTTCAGTCATTTAAAAATCTAATCAAAATCTTTGAAATTAATTTATTGGCTCATCAATGAGTAAAAGTTCCAATTTACAAAATATAGACTTAGGTAATATGCACTCCAATGTAATTCACACCCAAGAGAACATGTTTGAAGAAATTCTCCTGGATCAAAATAATGGTGATGATATTTCCTTATTTGGAATCATGACCTCACTATTGGAGAAATGGGGGGAGATGAAGATTTGCTTGGAATTTAAAAAGGCATTCATAACACTGCTTTGCTGAGAAATGGAGAAAAGTTGGGAAAGCAAAATAACTTCATTAGGGGAAACAGCAGATTTGAAAGAAATGACTACCAGTCAAGGCAGAACATGGAATCCTAAGGCTTGCTCAGACTGTACAAGGAAGAATTGTTTAACCAAGAAGGATGAGTCCTCCCAGTTCTCTGAGGAACAGCCCAAGAGTATGCGCATAGATTTACCAGATTGTGAAGGAGAGGAGAACCGAGTCTGGTGGGATGAATGTGCTTTGCAGAATTTAGTCATCCAGAGAATGATAGACAGCCCAAAGAATAGTTCTCTGTCTAGTCTCACAGGGCCAGCGCTTTTCCCAGAGAAATGGTACTAGGTCAGCTGAGGGTCAGATCCCAGGTCCTAATGATGAGCATCTGTACTTTGGTCCTTGTGCCCACAACCCTGGACAGAACTTAGAGTTGTGCTTTTTTAATCCTAACAAAGACTGTGGTATCTTCAGGGGTATCAGGGAAGATCACTAAGCAGCAAAAATGAAATTTGCAAGAAAGATACACCTCTGATCGATTTCTCACCCAACCAGATCTATTCATCTACTAAACAGACCCTCTAAACTCACTTAGAATAGAACGAGAAAAACGGAATGATTCAGGCATTTATTGTCTTCTCCACAGGCTTGTGCCAATTAAACACCATATGGCTTAGCCAGATAGGTGAATGGTGAGGCAGGACAATACCAAAAAACCCATTACGTTCAGTTAATTACAAACTATAGTAACTCTATTGGACTGAACATAACTGCCCCATGTGGTTTCCAAGACTACAAATCTTTATTGGTGGGCTTTAGCAGCCAATCTTTTGACCAGCAGAAAAGTGCTTAACCACTAAGCCACTGGTGCTTCTGAGACTTAAAGTCCATGACCACAGGAGAGAAACTCCACCTCCAGATCAAGCCTATGACCCTTTGGACTTGACCTCCTGGGGGTGGTTGCTCAAGTGTAGAAAAACAAAGCAGACACAAAACAGCTCAGCAGCTGCAAGTTCAGATGACCTCTCCCAGCCACTTTGCATGTCCCTCCCAGCAGACTTTGCCCTCTAGAAAGCCCTTATCAGCAGTGGATCTGTGCCTAGGGGAGATCTGCCTCACTTAGAGCATAGACTGAACCATGGAAACTCTAGCTCAGCTTCTCTGCCTCTTATCACTCTGGCTCCCAGGTGAGGGAACAAGGAATATGTTATCTGTTGTGGTTGGGTCTAGGACCCGGGATTTGACTGGAAAGTAAAATGACTATAATTCAATGTAAGCCAATGATGTTGACTCCATTGGGAACACAATGTGGTAGGATCTAGATGACATGAGTAACTCTTCTGTTCGCTGTCTAATCTCAGATACCACCGGAGAAGTTGTGATGACGCAGTCCCCAGCCTCCCTATCTCTGTCTTCAGGAGACAGGGCCACCCTCACCTGCACTGCCAGTCAGAGTGTTGGCACCTACTTAGCCTGGTACCAGCAGAAACCTGGGCAGGCTCCCAGGCTCCTCATCTATGGTGCATCCAGCAGGGCCACGGGCATCCCAGCCCGGTTCAGTGGCAGTGGGTCTAGGACAGACTTTACTCTCACCATCAGCAGCCTGGAGCCTGAGGACTTGGCAGTTTATTACTGTCAGCAGTATAGTAATGGGTAGCCCACAGTGATTCAACCCAATACAAAAAGCTCCACAGATGACTGGTATTCATGCTGTGAAGAGCTGCTTCCTTTATAGACAGCATGGCTTTAGTATTTCTGCCTCTGTTTCAGAGTTATGGAGGTCTGAAAAGCAACTCTTTGAAAACGAGACTCTTTTTTTCCTGAGTTAACTTAAAAGGAAGGTTCATAGAAGTTTGAGCTAGCATTAGCATCAATTACACTCACATGAATGAACTCCTGTACAAGTACACCTCTTCAAGACAGTGCATCAGGTTGACAGAATGGAAAGGTAAATTGTTGATTTTGTAAGTTGTAGATAAAGGCTGTGTGCAGACAGTATTCAAAATAATCCAGAGAGAAATAATTCAATTAACAAGCAAAATAGCAAATCATGGGCTTCCAGATTTGTATAAAAATATACTCAAGTTCATACAAATGTGCACTGAAAATGGGAAATAACATTAATTGCATTGTTTGTAAGAATCTCAAATTTGAAAAATCCTAATTACCAACAAATCTTATAATGAATAAAAAAATTAGGTATTATAGAACAATATCTTTACTATCAGATGTAAGTAAAATTTTGCTGAAGAGAATTCAAAAACAGTCTCAGCAGTACATCAACAGAGGGCTGCCAGAAATCCAAGCCAGATTCACAAGACATGGAATGAGAGACAGTGTTTGAAATCAGACCAATCTTGGCGGAAAGCAGAGAAAACCAGAAAAATGTGTACTTGTGTCTTACTGGCTAGACAATGCTCTAGACTGTGAGCACCCTAACACACTGTGACTAACACTGAAAGAATGTGAAATCCACACTCCTTAAACATGGAGCTGGTACATAGACCAACAGTCAGTCACTCAACCAGGGGCAACTGAATGATGTGAAATCAAGCCAGGTGTGTGTTAGGGTTGTGTCCTTTCCCAATGTTTATTCAATCGGTATGTTGAGCAAATAATATGAAAATCTGGATGATAAGAAAACAATCCAGTAGCATCAGGATTGGAGGAAGAGTCATTAACAATTTCCATTATGCAAAGGGCATCATTTTTCTTGCTGAAAACAAAAGAACTGGAAAGCTCTGTTGAAGTTCAAGGACCACAGCATTCAGTATGCTCTCAGTGATTACAAAAGGAGGAGAGTAACACTGACACTCACTTCAATACTTTTGTAGCACATGGACTAAGTTCCAAAAAGTTAATGATTCACTGAATTCTTTGGGGTGCCGTTACTCCTCTTTTATCACATTTCAGTCCTGAGAGAAATGCTTTGAGTAATATTATGTGATGGCCTTGCTTCATCTTTATTGGGGTCTTGGTTGATTTTCCTGCTACTCTTCTATTCCATTAACATTTACCAAGCATTCTACCAACTTCTTCAGACCGAAGAAACATCATGATCAAATCTGAAATCAATATGTTTTCATAATTACTGACAATTAGAATGTGAAAGTTGGAAACAGAGAGGAAGGAACAGCAGTTGGAAAACATGACCTTGGTAATAGAAATGACTTATTCATTGCACATATATTATTTCAGCAATATAATTGGATGCACTTCACCAGAAGAAATGCACTATAAAGAGCTAAAGCCCACCAAGGCAGTTCTATCCTGCCATATAGGGTCTCTACAAATCAGAATTGACTCAATGTCAGTGAGTTGATTGGGAAAAGTGCTAGCAACCAAAACAAGACCAAGGTCAACTTTAGAATAGACCACCAATTTCTCAATGTCAATTCAGGTTGAAGTTGAAGAAGAAAATTTATTGTCTACAAGAGTCAAAATACAACCTTGAATATATCCTATCTGAATGTCAAGAACATCTCATGAATATGTTTGACTCTTTGGACACTTGCTGATCATGAGGGGGCCTGATGCACTTGCTAATGAAGATCAGGGCTGAATCGTTCATTATAACTCAATGGACAGGAAACAAAAATGTTCATAGCCAATAGACAACACCTTGATAAACAGAGAAAAGGTTAAAGTTATCAAATTTTCATTTTATTTAGAGACAGAGTCATTGCTCTTGTTGAAAGCAAATGGCTGTGCTATAGTGAGAAAATTGCATGCAAAAGACCCCTTTAATGTGTTCAAGTGGAAGGATGCCACCTTGAGGATTAAGGTGAGCCTGAAGGTGCCGTAGTATTTTTAGTTGCCTTGTATGCATGGGAAAGCTAGACAATGAACAAGGACGACCAGAGAATTATTGATAATTTTGTGTTGGTGAGGAATATTGAAAGCATCATGGATGATCAGAAGAACAAACATATCAGTACTGGAGGAAGTATAGCCAAAATCCTCCGTAGAAGCAAACATCGTGAGAGTTGATGGTGTTACCAGGAGAGACTCATCCCTAGTGAAGGGTACCACTCTTGGTAGGGGTCATTGCAAAGGGGAAGACCCGCAGCGAGATGAATTGATGGACATGATGGCTACAAGAATGGACTCCAACATAACAATTGTGAGGCTGTCCCAGGGCTGGGCAGTGTTTTTTTCTGTGGTTCACATAGGATGTCCAGTTAATACAACTATTGTTCAAATGTACAAATGAAACAATAAAGTCAATGATGACAATATCAAAGATTTATACAATGCCATAAATTGTAACACCCAGCAGAAACTAACAAGAACAATCTGTTAAAGTTACATTTTAAGAGTACTAAAATATTTTATAGGGAGGATATAAAACAGGTATATTCACTTTTAAAATAAGGAGCCTGACATCTTTATTTTGTATCTGGGGCCCACAGATTATGTAGCTAAAACTGCCTTCTAGCAATATATGCTAGATATTTGCAAGGTTGAACTATAAAGTGATTTTACAAATGCAAAGGATTTATCAGCAAAGGATGCCCCAGTTCATTATTCTCATTCCCTTCCAGGATGATGGAACTGGATGAGCAGAATTTTATTTTTAAGCAAAGACAGGGTTATCTAACTGTCCTTTCAAATGTAGATTTCCCTGTCAAATTCTCCATTTCTCATTCTTCATGTCTTTCAGCATGAAGTTTGACTATTCCCCCAGTTTTTAACATTAAAATTCTGCATGTACTTTAAAAAATATATATTTACAGTGCACTAAAAAAATAAATTTAGGTTCTAGTCAGATAAACAGGGAAGCAAAATTGACTAATCAAAATAAAACAAAATATACTACAACTTACAAGACATGAAAATTGCTTCAAGCGTGATTAGAAATTATGGTTGAGTGAATATAAAGTGTGTGTTTATCCAAAAAGAAATAACTGAGTAACTATGAGTCAAATGTGCAGTTGGAAACCGTGTTAGAGAGCCACCACTTGGAGAACTGGCTATGCAAATGGATACAATAGCAGAACAGAGTAGAGCACATGGGCACAGCAGGAGCAGGGCTTGGTGATGTTAGCCAAACTGACATGGACACTGTCACTGACAGGCTATTTAAAATCAGGATAACAGAATTTAACATTGAATCCGAGAAGAGAGTGAGGAGACAAGTCTCTGCACAAAAACAAAGTTAGGGAGAGACAAAACTTTCCCAGGACACTGAAGTTTATTTATAGCTCTGTTCAATTCACTTATCAGTAAAGATAACAGTATGAGCAGATCATGCATGAAGTTTCACATAAGCCGCCAGTGAAACACTGCTTCCCCATGACTCTTAACATATTCCATAAAATTTGCATAGTTCGCCCACATCTAACCCTCCCAACAGGCCTGAGGTTATAAAACGTATTCTGCTCAACTGATGAAGAAAACGACAACACTCAAGACCATGGAGTCCCAGACTCAGCTCCTCAGTTTCCTGCTCCTCTGTGTCTCTGGTAAGAGAAAGACTGGCTTTGCTTCACGGCATTTCAGTTCTCTGAATCTCAACAGAATATGAGCTCTTTAAAAAGATGTGATATCATTCATTTTCTCCAAACACAATGTTTTGGGTATTTAAAATGTTTCCTATGTTCTTCCATAAACAGGTATCAGAGCGGAAACCTTACTCACACAAGCTCCAGCATTTCTGTCAGCATCTTTGGGAGACAATGTCGAGATCACCTGTAAAGCCAGTCAAGACATTGATGATGATGTGCACTGGTATCAACAAAAACCAGGAGAAGCTCCTAAGCTCATAATAAAATATGTTTCTACTCTCATCTCTGGGGTTCCCTCCCGGTTCAGTGGCAGTGGATATGGAATAGACTTTACTATGAAAATTAATAACATAGAATCAGAGGATTATGCACATTATTTCTGTCAGCAAGATGATAATATCCCTCTCACGGTGATATGCCCTGCTACAAAAACCTCCAGGTGCCCTCACTAAGATTGCCTCAGCTGCTACTGAAAATGTTCACTATGTGAAAGTAATTGACCCTAGGGTATTTGTAAGGGTTTTTTTTTTCAATACAAATGCTTATTGAGTTCCCTTTCTTTCTTTCGGTTCCTGTAATTTCTGCTGCACCCCAAACTCTGCCTGACACACTTATCTGATACTTTATGAACCTTCAATCATGTTACTCAATTATGCAATGATCTCACTTTGAAGCAAATGTAAATTCACTACGTCTGTCAGCCTGGTGATGTAGTGGTGATGTGTTGGGCTGCCACCCACAAAATCAATATCTGAAGCCATGATCTGCTCCTCAGGAGAAAGATGGGACTCTCTACTCCCCTAAAAAGTTAGTCTCAGAAACTCACAGGGGCAGTCCTATCCTGTGCCTATAGAGCCACCGTGAGTCAGCATCAACTCGACCATGATGAGATGTTAGGCTGGGTTCTCTAGAAAAACCAGAAGCTTTTCCTGACTCATGTAGCTGGCAGGGCTGAAGAACCAGGAAGCAAGAAGACCAGGGGTGATGGAGAGTCACGTGATAAGTTCTGATAGCTCCAGGGTGGGCGAGCAGTATGGCAGGTCATTGGCCGAAGTCCAAAGAACTGAAGGTTGATGAGTCAGTTGCAGGATCCAATCCAGCAAGCAAGAAAGAAGCTCTCAACAACGTCTACTTATATAGGAGTAGACTA